GTCACTCCCATTGACTTTTGGAATATGTTTTTCCAAGACCACATGGAAACCCCTTCATAATAAACCTATTCACCAGTTAAAGACATTCAATCTAAGACCAAGTGACCATGGAATGGCTCATCCCCGAAGATCCTATGGATTCTAGAGTAACACGTGGTCATGAATTGAATGCAGGAGAAAAAGTTTATTTGAAGATATTATGAATGGCACTGGCCCGCTCAGTTTGTGTAAAACTAAAATATCCGTAGCAGACAAGTGAAATCGGTCCAAATAATCACGACAACTTTTCCTTTTTAAAGATTTGATGAATGTAAACAAAGGAAGTTACTTCGCTAAAGCCTAACATACATCAATACGGCATGGTGTATGCTAGAATATATAGGATCACTCCATCTGATTAAATCACCAAAGTTTGTGTTCAAAACGATAATACGCCATAAACGTGATTTAAACATTTTTCTTGTCAAACTGCGCGCCTATATTCACATGTATTTCCCAAACTGTGTGCCTAATATTTCCAAACTGCTTGCCTATCCAAGCTTGTTTTGTATTATTAGAAAACATAAGCGCCATACAAGGCACATATGTGTCTAATAGTAGAACCCCATAATAACCCAGATGCGAGTAGGAATAATCTTGATTTACGTCATTAAAAATTCAAAATTCAGTCAAAGTAATATCATATTTGAAATCTACATGTAAAATTACATCTAGAAATGTGGTTTTAAAAAGTGTTTATCAACTTTGAAAAATTAATTTTCTTTGAAAATGTGACTTCTAGCTCGGGGAGATTCCCCATAGACCCAATGCTATAAAATCACAAAAAATGAAATATCTTTTATTTTAGTGGACAGATAATATTTTGCTTTACTGGACATATTTTCATTAGTATAAGTATCAGACGCATAAGGGTTATATGAAAATTGAGCCACTTAAATTGATAATATTCAAGTTTATGGGAACTTTCTTATATACCTGCCATGTTAATTGACCCGAATCAGCCACCTGGTGGTGAAACTGGTAACTACCTACTCGCATTTGGGTAATTGAAACACTATGAGAGTCCATCCACCAAGATGGTGATCTGAAAATAAAAGTTTTTTTCGTTCCCAGCTTAATTGTCACTTCTATTATAGATTTTGACTTTCAATATGAAAATCTCATAAAATCTGACGATAAAGCAAAATTTCCAAAGCAACATGAAAAACACATACACGTGCCTCTGTAGAAATTCCAATGATAATATGTAGTTTTAATAGTGTATACGCACAGTTTGTAATTTCTGGCTAAAATAGGCGCGCAGTTTGTGATTTATTTCTTTTTAATCTCCTGATTATCTGTTTTATCTCGAAATATTTTGAATTATAGATGATAAATGTGTAAGGAATTAAATATAAAACGAGTCTAAAGTATTTGTCATTTATGTTTAAAGTGCTAGATCGATTTACGTATAAATTCTATACGTAATTACGTATAAATTAATCTGCTTATGTTTTAAAACTTAGATTCATTTGCACATAGTTTTTGCTAGTATTTGCAAGATTCGTATATTCGCCACAGAATGAACGCATTGAACAAGAAAACAATGCAGGATAAATGTCTTTAAATTACGTTTCAAAATACAGACTCCAACTTAAATGATGCAATGTTCTTAGGCACGCAGTTTGTGATCAAAACAAACTGCGCGCCTAAGTAGGCGCGCAGCTTGACATGGGCACCGTGCCCATTGAGTCCCATGAGATTCGATGGGGTATCATTTGGCGAAGTCCCACTGAGAATGAACCTATCCATTTTTTCCATTGGGCATCGCGGGACTTTTGATCATTGGATGTGTCAGCTAACGTGAAATCTAAATGACCTTGATCGTTTTGGTAACCAGCGTAATCGAGCGGATCACCAGTGATTACCTTCTAAACTAAATTACATCATTTCCGTGGGACTTTGTGGGATATGGAGGGACTCGATGAGACTCCATGGGGCAAAGTTAACAAGGTCTCTTGGGACATTGTGGGACTCGATATGGCATGGTGGGACTTGATGGGGCGACTGGGATTCTGCACCATATCATATAAGTAATGTCAACAAACCCAGTGTCACGGAATTGATCACTGTCTTTGAGAGAATATAAAGCACTATTATTTCCTTTGGCCTCAGGTTTCTACAACTAAACAATTTATGACACATATAATATTTATACACCCCCTCCATAAGGTTGGCAACTGCAAGTTTTCATATGATTACATATTAAGGTCTGTCAATGTTTGAACCTTGATTTTGTTCCTTATTGCTTTATTCCAAAAGCTTGATGTCTTGTTTAAAATTGCCAAACAGCATGACAAGCTTTAATAAGTGATTCAAAGGGGGACTTCCAGTTACAAAACTTATGATGGGGAGTGTAATATAACATATTATCATCATAATTCATTCTTAACATACCATAACTAGAACAACATTAGGATAGAATGGTATCTGAAATACATTTTTGAAAAATTTTATAAGTACACATACATGTATTTCCTATTGCTGACCACACATACCCTAAACGGTTTTATGGGGTATGGCAATGATAAGCTGTAAAAATACAAAATGGTAGATAATGAATATGTTTAGCATATCATGATGTCACATATACTGTTAAGATTTGTTTAGAATAACACTTTTTGCTATAATGATACACATTTTCTATTTGACCCTAGCAACAAGTTCAACAACTGATGTGTTATGTGCCACGCCCCCTTTCTTGAATTTTTAGGGGAAGGTAAAGAGAAAAATCAGAAAAATAGGAACGTGTAGTTTTTATTAAAACTTATTCAAGAAATATTTGCTAATATCATCAGTGATGTTTTAAATCAGGTTCTATACACCATAGGCCCTTACTATTTTTTAAACGACTGATTAACTATCGACTTATTAAGAAATTTTGAAGAGAAATTATGTACTTTTAGGGACAAATTATACCATATCTCGACCAATTTCTTTTGGTTAAGACCCAAACTTTCAGGAATTCTTCATACATGCCTTATTGATATATTGACAATGTTTCATTATAATTGCAACATCCTGAAATGAGAATTAAATAGTTTCAAGCATATGGTCAAATTCCGACTCAAAAATAATAAAATTTGCTGACTCAGCACTTTTGAGCCTGCTTTGCAAGGGTTCACAAACTTTTTTTACATGCCTTGGGGTCCCCTACAAGAATATAAAGTCAAATTGAATCTACCTGTGTTTTGGAACAAACTATACTCGGTGGTAGAGTAGATATTTTCATAAATGATGATATTTACGATCAGTTAATGTGCTACATCTCTCTATCATTTAGAAAATTACTTTAAAGTAATCAAATAACTCCTGATCCTTGTATTTACATAAAATTACACTGTGAGTTACATGCCGATAATCATGATATTATCAGTGAACTCAGACACTGTTTTTTGTAAATATATTCCTTTGTAGTTATAATTTTTGTATATTAGATGATGTAACTTTCTATGTTTGCTCTCCCTTGTGGAGGTATAAAAGATGGGTGTAGAGGAATAAATAAATCTTAATCTAAATATATATTTTTTCAAATTATATTGTTACCATTCAAAAGATGATCAGTGAATTGACGATGTGTAAAATTTTTAAATTTTTTGATGATAGGTTTAAGAGAAACGGTGTTCAAAAGGTTTACCATATCGATACCAATCCTTTAAAAACATATTTTGGCGGTTCATTATGATAAAAGGCTAAATATTGTGAAAAACACGAGTTGACACGCTGACATTTGGAATTGGAATTTCCTACATAATTGTCGACTCATGTCATGAAAATAACGTTGAACATAACACATTGACCCAGTTACTATTTATTATGGAATCACTAAGGAAAACATTGTTAATGACTTTAAAAAAGTTTAAAAAACTATGTTGCATTCCAAGAAACTTATCAATTTAGAAAAGCAAAATGTTTTTTTGTTGTTCGATTATAACAAATGGCATCTGTAGATGACAACGTTCGTTGGCATGTGTCGATGAGTAAACAAGAAGAATATATCCTCGCTTTTAACATGATAGAATGTGACGTTTTTGAGAAAAATGTACACACATGAAAATCCTTTCGTCCTCCACATTTACCTCTATATCTCAAAACATTTTAGACGAATAACTCTGATATCATATATATATTGTTAATGGGCTAGGAGCATCATAAAACACGAATCAATTGATATTTTAGGTGAAATAAATATACGTGTTGCTGTGCTTGAAAATAGGCGAATGGCGTAAATTAGCCCTATTTTAATGAATTTTGAAAACCTTTCGTCCTCCAATTTTCCACATACAACAGAAAACACATACTTTTGTGAACAAAATCAACTATTTATTAATAAACTACAGTTTAGGAGCAAAATAATCATGTATGATTTATTAAAAATTGATCTCGAATTTTTTGTTTAATGTACACCTGAAAAGTTGAAGGTACCAAAAAATGAGCAAAAAAGGTCGCTGTCAACAGATTCTATTTTTCAGACTCTATGACGTCACAATATGGGACGCTTACTAAAATTCATCCTTTTAAATAAAACTTCCATCTACCTTTATCAAGACGAAAAATAAGTAGAATAGTCATATATTGTTTGAGTTATGAGCGTTTAAAGACGAAAAATAATTCAAAATGTAACGTGTCAACATGGGATATTTGCCAGATGTTTTGGTAAAAAACTCTTTTTTAAAAACGAACGCGCAAAAAATGTTAACGAAGTGTAGTTGATCTAAAATCTTCATCGAAACAGCTTTAAAATGATATATAACTTTAATTAGAATATTATCTTATAATCCGGGGAATCAAAGTTACATTCACGCGATACCCTTAAAAAACAAATGCGCCACCTTTTTGCGACACGTCACTGTTATTGAAACTTGTATATCGGATGTACGTTTGGCCCTAAAAGCAGGGCATCGGTACTAATAAAATCCTATTCTATATATAAATATGAATATAATCTGACAACTGTGTACAGTTATTAAAATATTGACTTAAATATATTATATTAATAAACACACTTAAAACTTGAAACTATATAGGATTCCTTGCATATCTTTCACCTACGTACAGTTTAATTATCTCACTGTTTGCTGGCTTAAACGGCTTCGAATGTTCAATGCAGCTTTGTACAACTCGATTCTACCCGTCATCGCTGACTGTCTTTACATTTTCGACTGTTGTTGTGGTTTACTTGTTGACGAGCATGTATTAGTTGTAGAATTAGCCGTCATATCCGATTTACTCGACATTTTGATTGGTGAAACACGAAATCGATTTTTGAAACATTTTGATTTTCCCAGTTCTTCTTTCCACGTATTCCTGAGATTCTCGTTGAAATAGGAATAAGCGATGACATTTAACCAGCTGTTCGAAAATGAGAACACCTCAAATGTTTTAATTACGAGTACAGATTTTGGAAAGTATCCCGGGCCCCAAAATATATACAGATATAGAGCATGGAGGGGTAGATGACACAACAGGAATAAAACCACTAATGTTATTAACATTTTTACGACCCTCTGCTTGCCACGAATCGAATGCGAATCTTTCTTATTTTGAATCGGCATGCTGAGAAGTTTCTTTGAGATGATACCATAAACTAAGCTGATTATAATTAGAGGGACCCAGAACAAGACGATGCTATCAACGAGGATGACGATGTTCCACACTGGCTTGAAGATACGGCTTATGCTACAAGTCCAGAATGCTGTCCAACCTGTATCTCCATTGAATGTCTCTACGACAAGGTCATACATGATAATGGCCCTTGAGGCATAAGCGAAGGCGGCGCACCAGATGACTATAACCGTTATGATAGACTGTTTGAAAGAGATCTTGCCTCTGAACGGCAGTGCTATAGAATTGAAGCGATCCAACGCTATGGCAAGTATTGAAAAGATGCTGCATGCAATCGATCCATGTGAAACGAACTGGCAAAGTTTACAAAGTATGGAGCCAAGGTACTGTTCGGAGAACTGCGACATAATGGCAGCAGGCACCACAAATGCTCCTATGAACAAGTCCGCCAATGAGAGCGATACCAGATACATGTTTGTGGTTGTACGGAGTTTCTTCTTGCTCAACAACGTTACCACAACGCATAGGTTCCCGAGAATAATCAATGCAATGAAAATAGCGTAAATATTTAGCAAAATCACCATTTCTGGTGTCACTTCACCAGTTTCTGGCTCGGGTTCAAACTCGCTGTTCGGCTCAAATGACGCACCGTTACCAAACTCACTAAGAGGTTCAAGGGTTAGCTCTGCTTCACTCATTGGTTCATATGTCCCGTCGGGTTCCGGACTCCATTCACTCGTTGGTTCAAATGTCCCGTCGGGTTCCGGACTCCATTCACTCGTTGGTTCAAATATTCCCTCGGGGTCTGGATTCAATTTACTCGTTGGTCCAAATGTCCTATCTGGTTCAGGTTCGGCTGTTGTTTCTCGTTCAGCCATGTTTGATTGGGACTTTAGTCAGCAACTTTGAAACCAGCGTCTACTATTATGCCGTCAGCAGTGTGTTCAGGCCACTGATTTTAGAAATTCTGGAATCACAAAACAACACTCTGTCAGAATACCAAGCAAGGCAGATCGAAACAAACGTGACTGGAAACTATTTGTCCAACAAGCCCAAAAACCATACTGAATAAATCAAAAAGCTCATCAAGACATAGAAATGCATCATCTCTAAGATGAGTGTTCCTAGTCAATATACAATGACATACAGGGTGGCATGAAATACACACAACAAATGGCAATTGCAGTTTCAAAGTTTTTGGACGATTTTACGCAAAAGCACACTGTGTTTTTGTAAATCTTGCAATTCTCAACCGGGCTTAATTTTCAGCAGCAGAATAAACAATCCTACGGGTGAAGAAATAACACGCACTATGTTGATTTATTAATAGATGAAATTTACTTCGAGGCATAGTGGTTACAGAATAAGTAATAAGGTATCTTTTTTGTTTTTGATTATTAGAATATTTTATTTTTAATAACCTTGATATGAGATGATGTAAAGAACGACGATTTCTCGCATTCGGTTACAAAATAGGCTGTTATTAACCGGCCGGGTACATCCTTCCCCACTTTGTTTGCAATTTATGAATCTGAGGTAAGCCTTGAGTTCAAATGCCAAAATACTCGTATATCACGTCCTTTTGCTGATTGTACCGTGAACTGCTCTAAGACCCAAACATATCACGTCCCATTGCTGGTTGTAGCGCAGTCTCCCCCCTAGTAGTGTATTGTTGCCAATTATATTTGGCGCGGATTCGATACTTTGTGATGTAGAATATGATATTATATGTAAATCTGTATATAAAATGTATCTAAATAGGCCTAAAAACAGGTATTTTACATAGTAACTATAAGGCTTAAGTGGTAATCACCAATTGGTGATATTATAATTGAATGTGTTTTCCCCTACTTAACCTGTATAGCTTAGTTTTATTTTCTATGATTTTATTATAAATTATATGTGTACACATCATTATTGGTGGATAAAATAAACATAAATAAATAAATAAATAAATAAAAGACTCCAGAATATCGCGTTCTGTTGCTCGTTATATCGTGGATTGTTCAAATGTATATTACATCCTATTACTGGTTGAACCTCAATCTAATCAGACTCCAACATCACGCTGTCCTAACTTCGACCGTTAATTTGAATTTTTGACCTACCAGGTGCTTGAAAATCAAGGATTGCGAGTCTCTTACTGCACCGTTTTTCTTCAAACTTATACCATTAAAAGCAAAACAAAATTGCCTTTCTGTCGGTGCATTACTTTATTGTAAAGAGCCCCTCGTTCTAGCAGCGTTTTGGTCCCCAGCTGTTAGAAGGCCTTCTTACAGCTGGGGACCTAAATGCCGCTGGAAGTAGGGACTCAGTTGAAGAGAATAATGTACCATCAGAGAGGGATTTGTGTTATGCTTTGAATGGAACGAGTTTGAAGAAAAACGGTGCAGTATGAGATTTTCAAACATCCGGTAGGTCAAAATTTCAAATTAACGGTCGAAGTTAGGACCGCGTGAACATATAACGTCCTGTTACTGATTGTGTAGTGAACTGTCAAAAGACTTCAGAATACCACGTCCTATTGTTGGTTATAATGCAGTCTGTTCAAAAACTACAATATATCACGTCCTATTGCTGGTTGTATCGTGAACTGTCAAAAGACTTCAGTATACCACGTCCTATTGCTGGTTATAATGCAGTCTGTTCAAAAACTCCAATATATCACGTCATATTGCTTGTTGTATAGTGAACTGTTCAAAACTCCAGAATACCACATCCTATTGCTGGTTATAACGCAGTCTGTTCAAAAACTCCAATATATCACGTACTGCTGCTAGTTGTATCGTGAACTGTTTAGAGACTCCAGGATATTACGTCCTATTGCTCGTTTTGCTGCAGTATGTTCAAAAACTCAAATATATCAGGTCCTATTAATTACTCGTTGTATCGTTAACTGTTCAAAGACTCCAATAAATCACGTTGTATCTTGAATTGGTCAATTGTTTTTATACGAATTTTCAGTTTCTGATTCAATTGTGACTGTTCTAAGACAGTTGTAAATCACATGCTGTATCCTTTCATTTATTCCCAAACAAAGAAATGATCAAGCGTATTACAATCTAGCGCACTTAGCTGTGTCTATCAATCATTCTGCATTTGGACTTGTTGTTTCTCAAAAGAACTGCGCTGAGTCTGTATCTCTGTTATAATATAAGTCAATAATCATCTTCGTTATGAGTTTGTACCTTTACCCCGGATTCTCACCACTGCTCCTCCCTTCAGAGTCTGACGAAGAGAGTGGGCGTTCGCCTAGTAGTTTTAATTACAAACGATCACTCAAATCGCAGTAAGTCATTAATTGTGCATGATCTCGTATTTGAAATTATACTTAGCAAACTAAGACATGATTCATGTCAATTCTAAGGGATTGTATATTGATCAATAGTATTGTAAATAGTGTCTTATTGTAGCATATCATGTTGGTCGTCATTCATACTACTAGAAATTATACATAAAGTTGTCGCGAGTAAGAAATTAATTGTTTACATTGATTTATAGGGGTTTGGTTATTTTTATTTGTTCTCCAAAGTAGTCATTACATATAGTAGCCATTTCCATTCATATCTATTACTAAAATATGAAACTTACATTTATCAGAATGTGCCTTCTAATTTTAAACATCCCTTATTGTTAACGAAAAGTAATCGATCAATTGCTTTTGTAAGGTACATGTATGTCATGTAAGCATGCAGTAAAGTATTTAAGCATGTAGTACATGTATGTCATGTAAGCATGCAGTAAAGTATTTAAGCATGTAGTACATTTATGTCATGTAAGCATGCAGTAAAGTATTTAAGCATGTAGTACATGTATGTCATGTACACTCCCCTCCATAAGTTTGGCAACCTTTTTTCTCCATTGAACTACGAGTTAAAGCCTCTTTACGTTTGAATTTTTATTTACTTAACCGACGATGAAATAACTTATGATATTGATGGAAACGTAACTTGTCTTTATTTCCAATACCTCCAAATTTTCTCGATTTTTTTCCTCAATTACAATAGGTCGAAAATTGATGATAAATTTGATGAATTTTTGAAAATCGTCATTCTCATGTAATCCAATGGGAAATGGAGGGTTCGGGGCAAATCAGAAATCAGGATATCTTTTCAGTAAAAGATTCAGCAAAAAATATTTTTATATAGAAAATTGAATTGTCTAACTTTTTTGAACACTAAGTGTTTAGCTTATTTGATGAATATTAAAGTTACAGCGCTTCAAAGTCATTTTTGAAAATTATTTTTCGCCTCCTGTGTTATTTCAATGGGAGAGTTTTTTTGAAAAACAATTTTGACTTTAAAGCCCTATAACTTTGTTGAACCTGAAGAAACATATCAATTTTTTGTTAAATAAAGTTAGCAAATTCAATAACCTGCCTAACTCGTATTTTTGCAAGGACTCGGATGGATGGATATTCTGTCATATGACTTGCGGCAAACCTACCATTTCCCATTGGTTAACATGGGAATGTCAATTTTCAAAAAATCATCAAATTCATCATCAATTTTCGACCTATTGTAATTGAGGAAAAAAATTGAGAAAATTTGGAGGTATTTGAATTAAAGGGTGACGCATATCGTTTAGCAAATCGAACGCTCGTTTCTGGTGTTGCTCACCGTTTAGTATAAAAGGCCCGATCCCGGAATAATACTCAAGGGTTCACAGGCTCGAGGTTGTTGTGTCAACACCTCTAACTGTTATATAGCATAAGTATATTATAGATCGTCACATATTTATAAAACGGTGATTTTTATTTTGACAAATCAATTCCACATTTATGGGTGAAGTTTCAGGATCTTCTATTTGTGTATAATAAGGAAAAATTAACATCTAAATTTCCCCATAACGTAATAGCACACAGCTTGGTATATGAAATATCCTACAAATGAAACAAAGCAGTTCTAATACAAGAATTTATATTGGCTGTTGTACATATTCTTTGAACGCAATCACTCTATGGATAATGTTTTCAAAATCATTATAAACGGATTACTTTATCTCAAAGACAATTTCAATGAACTGGATTTTACAGAACTCCCCTTATTTCTTAAAAATGGACTGATCCAGTCGATTCGCCTGGAGCCGCCATATTGTTTTTATACGGGATGCTTATCGGAACCCTTTAAAGTCAAATTACGTTTCCATCAATAGTATAAGTATTTTGATCGCAGGTTAAGTAAATAAAAATTCAAAGGTAAAGAGGCTTTAACACGTAGTTCAATGGGGGAAAAAGGTTGCCAAACTTATGGAGGGGAGTGTAAGCATGCAGTAAAGTATTTAAGCATGTAGTACATGTATGTAATGTAAGCATGTAAACTGATACCCTTCTAAGATATGAGATCTATTAAAAAGGCGCATCATCACCAACGTGCAAAAGTCAATTAAAAAGTGAGCAATGTCATTAGTATTGTGATAATAACGTCCCTTATACCTATTTATTACAGGTCGTGTAGACCATTGTTGCCCGATTTATAGCAAAATCATTGACTTTTGCACGTTTGTGATGATGCGCCTTTTTTAATAGATCTCATATCTTAAGGGTATCAGTTCAAAAAAAATACTAGATCACCTAACATATTTTGCCATGCACTGCGCCTATTCATTTGGCAATTCAGTTGTAAATTTTCTCTTGAAAAAATAAATCTTCCAAAGGACGATTCTCCTGGGCTAATAATTTTTTTCATGAAAAATATAGAAATATTACCCAAATTAAACTATGAATATTCAAAAGAGGACATTTAAATCTACAAGATGTAAAAATAACAAATTGGTCTGAAGCAGGGATAACGCTCAATTAGACCGATTCTGTTGTGTCATTAAAGAACAACTTGTATTTTACATTATATTTTATTAGTCCAGTTATATGATAGCACATTTGCTTCCATATCCTATATTCGCTGATAAGTCTACTTGTGATCAAAGAGTAATAAAACCATAAAACTAACCATTGTAAAGACTTATCAG